AAAGAGGCTGGACAAAACCACCTAAGCGGAAAAGCGACGAAGGTGTGTCATCTTCGTGTCGGCTGACGAGCCTCTGGAGGTGCTCTCCTGACAGCCTCCCCAGCTCCAGATGGGAGGAAGCCGGCTCGAGATGAGACTCTGTGTGGAGGGCCGATCGCCTCCACAGCGTGCCACGTGTAGTGGCTCGTCCGTGCGTGACGTGACGACAGAACGTGTGATGACTCGTCCGTGCGTAACGGAGAGAAAAACGTGAAAAACGTGGGACCCTAAGCCTCCCTGGAGGGGGAAGGGTCGAGACACTGAGGTCCAGGACCGAGCCGGGAAAAAGGAAAGACATGCAGACATGGGGGCATGCAGACATGAAGACATGTAGAAAAAACGCACACACACATGAAACGGACGACTAAAAAGTCGGAAGTGCCGTGGCCGGGGGCGGAGAACGCGCAGGTGCAGTGACCCGGAGAGCAGTCCGTAAATGGATGAACTGCGCGACTGGCAATGCCTTGGTAAAGATGTCAGCACGTTGGGAGTGCGTAGAGCAGTATTGGATGTTGAAGATCTTGGCTTCAACGAGCTCCTTGACGAAGAAGTACTTGACGTCAATGTGATTCGTACGTCCGTGGAACGCAGGACCCCGAGATCGAGGAGGAGGTACTTGAGGTACAGACCTTCTTGAAGGCAGCTGGCCAGCGCGTTGTACTCCGACTCGGTCGTGGAGAGAGCAACGGTGGGTTGTTTCTTGGCGAGCCACGAGATGGGGCTGCCGTGAAAAAGCGTGAGGTAGCCGCTAATGCAGCGACGAGTGTCAAGGCACTTGGCATAGTCGGCATCGACATAGGCCTCAAGAGTGGGCGCTACGCGAGCTGTGGGGCCACCTAGGGTGATGCCCATGGAGCGAGTACCGCGTAGGTAGCCGAGCACGCTCTTGGTGGCCGTGTAGTGGCCAACCTGAGGTGCCGTCAGGTATTGACTAAGGCGTTGGACCGTATGGGCCAGGTCTGGCCGAGTACCGAGGACGAGGTACATGAGCGAGCCGACCACCGATCGGTACGGGGTAAAGCGCTCGAGGAATTGGGTGCGACCAGGGTTAGGTGCCGAGTCCAGAGCCGAGAGGTCTGTGCCGGGAGCAAGTGGCGTCGCGTGGTCGCGGCCCTGCAGGCAGTTGAAGCGGGACAGTACGTCACCGACGTACTCGTCTTGGTGGATAAAAATAGACCGGTTCGGTCGGTCGCGGACGACTTGCCAGCCGAGAATGGACTCGACGTCGCCGAGGTCGCGCATCGCAAAGCGCTCCGAGAGGAGGCGGCGAATCTCGTCGCCAATAGCGCGAGTAGGAGCAAAAATCAACAAGTCGTCGACGTAGAGACTGACGAAGACGGGTTTGCCGTCGTAGTTTTTTGGTGAAGACGCAGCGGACTTTGCGCGTGCGCTTGAAACCGATAGCGGTCATAAAGGCGACGAAAGTCTCGTACCAGATACGAGGACTTTGCTTGAGGCCTTAGAGGGCGCGATCAAGCATGCAGACCGAGCCCGGGTCGGACTCGCTGACAAACCCTTCGGGTTGGGTGGTGAAGACTTCAACGTCTTTGGGCAGGATGCCATTTAGGAACGCCGTTTTGACTTCCATTTGGTAGATTTCGTAGTTTTCGATCGCAGCGATCGCGAAAAGAAGGCGAAGAACCTCCATGCGGACTACCGGGCTGAAAATATCAGTGTAGTCGATGCCGGGCCGTTGGCGAAAGCCCTGGACGACGAGACGCGCTTTGTAGCGGTCGATCGAGCCGTCGGCCTTGAGTTTGCGGGTGAAAACCCAACGGGTTTTAAGAACCGTGCGGGAGCGTGCCCGAAGTCTTTCGACAAGACGCCAGATCTTGTTGCGGATAAGAGACCGATGGTCCGCGTGTGCGGGGGCGCGCCAGTGGGCGGCCTCATGGCTGCGCATGGCCTTTGCCCACGAGTTGGGGACTGGGTTGTAGTCTACTTTGGCGGTAGCCATGTTGTGGAGAGGGATAGCTCCGGGCATCTCCGAGATATCGGGAGCCACGTCGACGTCGACGGTCTCGACGGTTAAAGCGAGTGGTTCTAAGGTGTCCACTGACCTACCTGGGATAGGAGCCTCCATGGCATGCAGTGCATGGGCCACGGGGTGAGTGGTCGTAAATCGGAGAGCCGCAAGTGGGTTCGCGAGAGTAGCGGTGGGGACCGTAGGATCAAAATGGGTCACCCGAGTCATTTCCGCGAAACGGACCTGGCGGACACGGAGGTCGTCGCGTGTAGTCTCTGCCCATTGGGTCCACAAGAGGTTAGCCTCCCGAATGGTAAGGGGCATGGGGAGAAAAGTGGTGAGTGCGAAGTTATATTCGTCTAAGTTGAGGTCCCGTACTTCCTCGAGAGAGGTGAAAAGGGGCGCCGGCGCCGACGGGGATGGTGTCGGGCGCGGACGCTGAGAATGAAGATGCTGTGCTACCAACGGCGTGGCCGCAGTGGTATTGGGAGGACTAGTGTCACACAGCGTTTCGGGGGAGGTACTAGATATCGAAGGAGGGAGACGATGCTGCGCCGACGACGGTGTCGTGGCGCGTCGTGGAGCGACGACGTCCGCGTCCATTCCCGACCCCGGCCGAAGGTCTTGTGGGAACGGGCGCGAACCAAGATGATTCGGCGACGGCAGGTGGGCAGATTCAGCATGTGGCTGCCCATGGTCTACCGGTTGCGACCCACGCGAGGGTGGGCCCGGAGACAGGGACGGCACAGCTGGCCCATGCGCTGCCAGGAGAGGTTCGACTGGACCAAGAACAGGTACCGGCAACGGCAGTGCCGCAGTGGTTTGGAAACCTGGAGGAGGTCGTACATCCTGAGGCGTCGCACGAACATATCGACGCGTACCGACGATAGATGCATCGGGCGGACGTACCGCCAAGGGTGGCGCTCGCGCCGCAGGCGATTGGTCCGCCATCGAGGAGAAAGTTCTCGTATGGGGCCAGGCCGAGCGTATGTCCGTGGAAGGACGCGAGGCTGGAGGGACACTATCCGACGAGCCAGTGGCCGTGGTGTGCGCAGGCGGGGATGCCGCAGGTGTAGGCATTGCATAGCCGTTGGGGTGAATATCTGTAGAGGAATTTGTGAGTCGAGCCGCTTTAGCGGCCTCGACCGAGGCTACGGGAGGGAAGATATCCTCGCAAAAAATGACATCACGGCTCTCGACAATCCGGTGTGTCGCCGGATCCATAAGGCGGAAGCCATCGCGATTGGACGGGACGCCGATATAAATGCAGCGCTTGGCGCGGGCATCGAGTTTGTCGCCGCGGGCAGGCGTTTGAATGTGAGCCCACGCATCGCACCCGAAGACCCGTAGGTAGCGGAGTGTAGCGTGGTGCTTGTGGACGAGGTAGTACGGAGTCTGGCCGCCATTCACCGAGGTGGGTGAGATATTGAGGAGGTAGGTTGCGTGTTCAAGAGCAACGCCCCACATAAATTTGGGAAGAGCAGCATCCAGGAGGATGCCGCGGACACGAGCTAGGAGCGTGCCCATAATGCGCTCGGAAACACCGTTTTGTTGAGGTGTGTAGGCGTTGGAGTACAACATGCGTGTGTTGTATTTTTCGAAGATGATGCGCCCGAGTTTTTCGTACTCTTTAGCGTTGTCTCCTTGGAGGAGCTGAATATCGTGATATTCAGTGTAGGCCAGTTGAGCTGGCTCTGCGCGAAAAAGAGCGCGTGCATCGGCACGGAATTTGTCGTAGATCGTGTAGATCTCCGATCGTGCACGGAGGAGGTACGTCCACAGGTAGTGGGTCGCTTCGTCGATGAAGACGACGAAGTACGTGCAGCCCGACACGGTTGGGATTTTCATGGGTCCCCACATATCCGTGTGGACACGTGCTAAGGGAACCGTCGCGTGGGGTGTGCGCGACGTTTTGGGGAAAGGTTGGCGTTTGGATTTCGCTTGGATGCAGACCTCACAACTGTGTTGCGGCATGCGGCCAGTGCCTTTGTAGGACTCTAGCTCGGGATGATCCCGGATCATCGTGCGCATGGCATCATCGCCAAGATGACCAAGTCTGCGATGCAGTGGTTTCAGAACACGAAATGCACTAAGTGCAGTGTGCATTACAGGATTATCGACGTCAAGTGCGTGCGCAAGACAAATGTAGTCGGACGTCGACGCGAGCGAGGGAGAGGACTCCGTGCTAGTTGGTGATCCTACAGAGATGTGGTCAGTGTCAGCCACGTCCAAGGATGGATCAGTGACGTACGTGTCCGCAAGGAACGTGGCAGTAGAGCCAGGTGGGCCAAGCCACAGCGTGGCACCATGTTGGTGGCCATGCAGCTCGTCCGTGTACGAGCCCGTCGTGGTAGCAGTAATAGCGCGCGAGACACGCACCGCAACTGACGCCACAATGTGTGCAGCGTGCGAGTTGTCGGGGGTCACGGCGTTGGGAGTGACGGTGGGAATCGTGTCCGCATCATCCACAGCGCCACTAAAGACGTAGAGTTTCGTCGACAGCAAGCGCACCCCGTAGATCGCGCGGTACGAGGGTGCGTCCAGCATCTCAAGATGGCACTCAGCCGTCGAGAGGAAATGCGTCCGGAGACGATCCGCGAAGCCCGCGCCGACCGAGAACAGATTGAACTGCAAGTCGGGCACGTGGAGGACTTTGTGCAGAATCTGCTCGCACGGCGTAATGTTGCCGTCACGGTCCGTGGTGTGCGTCGTGATGAGGACGTCACCAATGCCGAGGACCTTGAGGCCGTGGTTGTCACCGACACGAAGGTAGGCCTCATGGGGAAGGTAGGACACAAACCAGTTCTTGTGAGGGGTGCAGTGGGCCGAGGCGCCACTGTCAACGACCCAGTCCACGGTAGCAATCTTGTTGGGCATGACGACGGTGTCGCCACCCGCGATAAGGCCGTAAGTGTCATTGACACGACGGACACCGACTTGGAGGACAGACACGGTGGGTGCGATAGTCGGAGTAGCGACCTCCGGGTCGTCAAAACAAGCCAGTCAAGAGTGGGGTTCTCATGAGACGGTGGCACAGCAATAGCGTCGAGTTGCACGAGCTCGTCGGCCGTTGGACGCACGGGCGTCGACGGCAAAGCCTCCCCTTGGAGAGCACCGGGTGCAGGCAGCACCAGTGTTGATGTGGTCGCAGTAGGAGCACTTGGAGGCGTCGCATTTGGCGACGAAGCCTCCCCTTGGAGAGCACTGGGTGCAGGAAGCACCAGTGCAGGCGTAGCCGCAGTAGGAGCACTTGTAAGCGTCGCAACCGACGATGGTGTAGGCGCCGAGTGATCGGTGGCCATCATCGTGGTCGACGGTGCACCATGCAATGTAGGCGATGCGATGATCGAAGGAGCGCGAGACCGTTGAGGTGGCTCATGCACGAGAAGACGAGAGTACTGGGTCGCAGTCATCGTGTTAGCCTGGCTATTGCCGGCGTTATCGCTATTGCGTTGATGTTGCAACGCAGCAGGCGCTGGCGCAGGCGCGCAGTACTGGCTGCGACGCAATGGCGCTAGGCCGTGGCCCGATCCAACGCCATTGTAGGTCGATGTGGAGGACTGTCGTGATGTATCGCCTCGAAGAGGTCTTGGTGACAGTAGTCGTGGTTGTTGTTGTGTCCGCCACCACGACCGTGGTCGGTAGGATGGGGTTGGCCGTAGTCCTAATGTTGTCCTGGGCCGTAGCCGGATCGTTGGACTTGGCCGTAGGCCGCAGCCGTAGTCAGGATCGCGACAGTCGTCGCGGCCTCCATTGCTACAACGGCCGTCATTGGAGCCAGTACCGTATTGGGATGCGGGCTTGTGTTGGGCCGTCTTGAGCGCCGTCACGAGAACGACTCAATGCCACGAGGCCGATTCGTGGGTTTCGTGAAGTCGCCGTTGGACATCTACGTCGGCACTGCCGAGAGGGTCGGGCGGACGGGAGCTGGCGGCGGTATGCTCGCGCCATAGGATATGGCGGCGCAGGGCTCCGGGACCAAGTCGGTGCCACCTCCGGGCGGCGGCACGAGGTCGGTGAAGAGGGCGAAAGCTCCTATGGGCGTAGAAAGGGTCATAACCTGTCAAGCTGGCACTTGGGGCAGCGAAGCACAAAGCAGAGGAACGAAGCTAAGAAGAGGAAGAGGAAGAAGAGGAGGCAAACGGGCAAGCGGGAAGCAAGCCAGAACGGAACCAAAACAGAAGTGAGGGACCGTGAGGTCCCCACGACCAATGGCCCGGAATGTATTCAGGACATTATGGGACATACAAACTACGAGAGAGGTGGGCAAAACCTCCGAGTGGAGGGAAAAACCCTAGCCTCAGGTGGGAAAACAGCCAATGAAAGAGGCTGGACAAAACCACCTAAGCGGAAAAGCGACGAAGGTGTGTCATCTTCGTGTCGGCTGACGAGCCTCTGGAGGTGCTCTCCTGACAAATACGACTACTGACTGTGAACCGCGTCCCACGACCACAAATTGCGGCCACACGGCGGAAGGGGTCAACGTGTTCCACTCACTGCTGGTCGTGCTGATCGTGCTGATCGTGCTGATCAGCCATCGGAACTGATGATGATGACTGTAGTAATCGCGAGTGAAATTTCACACACTGTCTCATCTGCTGATCCGCATTGGAAAGAATAGTAAGCAAACGGCAAACTGGGTCGGTCGTCCACACACCCCGTCGCTCGTCAGCAAAGCGGTCGTCGCAACAAGCTTGGAATGCCGCCAGTTTAAATTAGTTGTGGGAATTCAAGAATGACCCAACGATTACGAAAGAGTTGCTATTGTAGCAATGACTACTACTATGAATACCAGCACCAACGGAAAAAGCTATCAGAACTGCGCATCGTTCTCTTGGGTACTCCTGCGAGCACCATCGATACTTCGGGTATCGGCCATGTGGCAGTGGTTTGTGAACGATCCAAAGCGCACATGAGCACTGCTTGTCTTTGGGCCGACGTCCCCGGAAGCCCGAGACAGTATCATCACTCCTGGGTCACACTTTTCTTGCGGCCTTCAAGAACAAGAAGAATGACGACGCGTGCTCGTGCAAGACGGCGAGGATGTGGGGCAACCAGGTGTGGTACCGAGTACGTAGACCAAACTGGATATGCCATCACCCATATCTCTCTTGAGAGGCAAGGGAATTGGCGGCTTGGGCGGCTATCGTAGGTTGCTACTCGATCGATATTGGCTTGGACAGACGAGCTCGCCCCTTGCTATGCACGTGATCAAGCATGGTCACGTCATGCAGCCCGCGCCATCTGAGTTGCCAAACCTGCGACACTCGATATGGTCACAACCACACGCATTCGTCTTGCACACAGTACACTCTCAAATGTCCTCTACAATGTGATATTGCCGTTCCTAAAGGTGGTGCTCTGACGGCCATGGGACATCGCTCTCATAGCCCATGCGGGTTAAAGTTTGACAAGGAGCTGCTGGAGCACCCCCTTAAATGAAAATCAAGCAACAAGCAGCAATCGATTACTATGGTAGTACATCGTTGATGAAAGCTGTCGATTTCATCAACAGATACGCGATGAAATGCGATGCCATCACGAACAAAGATCACAGCGG